AGCTAAAAAGAAACTTCTCTGAAGAGGAAATGCAAATGGCCAACAGGCATATGAAAAAATGTTCAACATCACTTGTCATCAGGGAAATGCAAATCAAAACTACCATGAGATACCATCTCACACCAGTGAGAATGGCACATATTAAAAAAACTAGCAACAACAAATGTTGGCGAGGGTGTGGAGAAAAAGGAACTCTTCTGCACTGTTGGTGGGAGTGCAAACTGGTCCAACCACTATGGAGAGCTGTGTGGAGATTTCTGGACCTACTAAACATAGAGCTTCCATATGATCCAGCAATTCCACTCCTAGGCATTTACCCAAAGGACACAGAAACATCAATTCCAAAGAGCACCTGCACCCCTATGTTTATAGCAGCACTGTTTACAATAGCTAAGCTTTGGAAACAGCCCAAACGCCCCAAAATAGATGACTGGATCAAGAAGATGTGGTACATATACACCATGGACTATTATTCAGCATTCAAAAAAGATAAACACATGCAATTTGCAGCAACATGGATGGCGTTGGAAGGGATCATGCTCAGCGAAATAAGCCAAAAAGAAAAAGAAAAATACCGGATGGTCTCACTCATAGCAGGAATCTAGAAAACTTAAATAAGGGACCAGGAAAATGAATATAAGAAAGTGAAAATCAAAATCAACAAAAAACTATGAACCAGAGACACTTTTTGGGGGGTGGGGGCAGGAGGGGAGGGATTGGGGTCAGAATGGGGCGTTTGCAATTGTATGGGGGAAAATAAAAATAAAATTTATTATTTAAATTAAAAAAAAGAAATATAAATGCTTAATTAATTAATTTTGATCATTTACCTACACATTTTTATAAATACTATCATATGTTGTTTAAATTATTCAGGCACCAAATTAGTGCCTGAATATTTTCACATCCAGACCTTCAGTCTAAAGTTTTTAAAGTTTTTTTTCAATTCTTTTAATCGATTTGTGTAAAATGTATCATCATTTATTTCTAAGTATCTCCTTTGTAAAATTACAACCAGTCTTCTGAAATCTCCCCTTTATCACAGCTTTAGTGGTCTTTCCCACAAAAGTTCTCCAAAGAGTCAAAACGAAGAGCTGTATCGAATGAACCCAGATCCACACCACAAATCATGGAAAAGAAATGCAGAATGCTTCACAATTTCAATCTGTAGGCTTGGAAAGCACTGCAGATAGTCCGCATTCTAAGCAGTTGCTATGGCATGGTTCTATGTTGAGAACTAGCACATCCCACTCCATCCTTCCCAGGGATTGTCCAGGTGGAAACATGCTTAGGACAATGTACAAAAAGTCTAAGAAACTGTCTTAATGATTTCACTTTTGCTGGCTGAAAAATAAAGTCAGAAAGGCTTCTTTTAACTAAAACAACCGTTCTAAACATAAATATTGTAGGGCCTCCCCTGGTGGCGCAGCAGTTGAGCTCTGGGCTGCGAAGCTACCCGCAGCCTATTCAGCGCCAGTTCAATGCCCGGCCGCTGGGCATGGGTCCCACATGGCTCGCAGACCTCTCCTGCCCCCGAGGCTCCCCTCAGCAGTGTGCTTCGGTCCTTCTGCCTGTTCCGTTCCTTGCTGTGGCTCTGGTGAATCCTCTCACCCTCCCGTGCTCTGACAGTACCCAGTGTTTGTATAAATAAATGAATAAATCTTTCAAAAATAAATAAATATAAATATTGCCATAGTTTATTTTGTCATTTAGCGAGCCTTTACTCAGTTCTTAGAAAGTGCCAGCGCTTTCTTAAGTTCCTTACAGGCAGATATTCTAATTTCCCCATTGAACTTGCCCGAGGTTACAAACCTCAGACACTGCCAAGCTGGGACATGAATACAGGGGCCAGACCACAGAGCCCTAACCAGTGCACAATGTTACCTCCAAATGATCCATGAAAGGACTCGAGGTCCAGGTACAAATGATACAACGTGGCTTCCTGTTTTGCTCTGGATGAGGCTTATCAGCAGTGTAGGTAAGCAATTTTTCTGGCCCCATATTTCTTTTTGTCTTGTGTTAAAGTTTACAAATCAGGGCTCCATGGTGGCGCAGTAACTTGAGCACAGCGTTGTGTGTCTGTCAGCAGCCTCTGTAGTGCAGGTTCGATTCCCAGGCGGCCAGGGAGATTCACACACGTGCAGCAGACCTCTCCTGTTTCGCCCTAGCTCCCCTCAACACTGTTTTAGGTCGTCTGCCTGTTCTGCTCTCTGGTGAATTCTCTTACCCTCCCGTGCCTCTGGCCTATAATCCGGTTCTTGTATAAAGAAAAAAATCTTAAAAAAATAAAGTTTACACATCCTCCCTTATCACAATTCATATCATACGTGCAAATTCCACACAGTGAGCATGTAAAGAAAAAACAAATCTTAAATCATATAGCTGTGTCATTTGTATTATTGGCAGCATAAATATCACTGGATTTGCTCTGCTCTCCCCTCACCAAACCATTAAATCAAGACTGAACTCCAGGGGAGCCACAGACTCCTAAAAACAAGCACAACCTTGACAAGCAAACACAAACATTTTGCCTGGGGAAAGATCACATGCTTTTTTTAAAATCAGATATTAATATCCTTAAATATGTAGAATCACAGCAATAAAGAAATTAAAAATGTAAAATCTGACACATAACTTTACTATGTATAAAGAATGTTAATCGATAAAAGAAAACCAGACGTGATTGTTCTATTTCTCATGATAAAGTAATAATTTGTGTAATGATTTATGCAAAAGCAATGTTAGAAAAAAGTCTAAAATATTCCACTAAGGTTTACAATGTGCATGTAACACAGGTAGGTGAAAGGTTAAAAGCAAGATAACACAGAAAACACAAAATAGTATAATAGAAATAAATCCCAAAATATGTGATATAGAAGTTCAAATGGATTGAACACACCTATTATGAGACAAATTTTCAGATTAGATTTTTTTTAATCTTGTATGTCACTAATAAGAGACATACCTAAAACAAATGAACACCAAAGTTTAAAAGTAGACATAACAAAATTACAACAAAAAATAATAAATCAAGTTGAGGTAGTGATATTTTTAAGTATCAAATATTTAATGAGGCAAAGAGATATCTGATATATATATATATATATATATATATATATATATATAGCAATCTTCTAAACAAAGCAAACTTATAAGCAGGATTGTAACCAAAATAGCTTCTATATATAAAGAAAACAAACAGAATTACAAGGTTAAGTTGACAAATTCAGACTTATGGTAGGAGATACATCTTTCCTGCTCAGAAACAGGAAAGACAATCAGATAAAATTATTAAGACATGCAAATGTGCAATGTACTTAAAAATAAAGAACCTTACATTCAACACAATAAATATTATTTTCATATACAAAAAAATTACACAAATAACCATATATTGGCCTCCCCAGTGGCCCAGGGGTTGAGTGCAGAGCTATGAAGTTGTCCACAGCCTCTACAGTGAGGGTTTGATTCTGGGCTCGCCAGGGAGATAGCCACTTGGCACGGCGGACCTCTCCTGTCTCATCCCCTGCTCCCCTCAGCAGTGTATTTCGGTAGATCTGCCTGTTCTGCACCCCACTCTGTCTCTGGTGAATTGTCTCACCCTCCCATGCCTCTGGCCTGTACCCCAGCTCTTGTATAAATAAATAAATCTTTTTAAAAAACCCATATATCCAGAAAATACACCTCATCAAATTGAAAAGAATTGATATTATACAGAACATTCTCTGGCAATATAATGATAATACACATAATATATGAACCATGCAAACCCATAGACTTGGAAACAATCCCACTTTTAACAATTCATGATTTAAAAAAGTAAAGAAATTACTAGATTTTTGAAAATTTATAATTAGAACACTATCCATCAAAACCTGGAGAGTACCTAGCCCAACCTTTAAGTAAAAGTTAATAGTTTTAAATGCACTTATTGGAAATTAAGAAACTGTCAACCCAACAAGTCAGAAAAAGAAGAAATCTGGAAGAAGGAAGTAAAGGCATAGGTAGAAATGAAAGAAACAGAGTGATCAAAGAATTTTAAAACAGAGTTAAACAATATAATCAAAACTTAGTTATTTTAAAGGAGTAGTATATAGAGAGAGCTTTGAAAACCTGTTTAAAGAAAAAAAGAGAATAAGCACAGTTAATGTTATGAATGGAAAAAAGGATCAAAAGTATAAATAAATAACAGATTTTTAAAAAATCTTTCCAAACACATGAAAATGTTAATAATTTTAAAAGAAATGGCATAAACACATATTTAGAAAAAACAAATTATCATGTTTCCTGGAGAACAATTAAAAACCTGATTCACTCTCTGCTATAGAAGAACTTAAACTGAATGCTAAAAATGGCCATCTCTTAAAGTCACTAAACACAGCTATTTCACAGAAGAAATTTAACTGCCTTTTCTGAAACAGGTTATTCCTCCCTTATATAATTACTTGTATAATAGAAATTGTGGCCCTTTGATGCCTGGAAGGACCAAAACATATGCAATGTTTCTTCCCCCAAAAGGTGGCCACTAATCAGCCTTTGGACTTTTCATACCCTAGTAACTTTACTTCAATGAAATGTCATGTCATTTTCAATGCTGGAGAGCCATGGCAACTACCGCCCAGTCAATCCCATATAATTCATTCCCCTACTCCTTTCCAGAAGGTTCCCTTAGTTTTACAAATCTTATCTTGACCCCTACATCTTGGAAAAATCTATAAGCCAGCCATGATTTTTAGGACTGAGCTCTCTCCTTCCATTGCTTTAACTTGATTTGGGGTACAGATATGTTTTTTTTTTTTAAACAAATACCTATGTGTTTGTTTTGAGGCCAGAAATATTAAGTTCTGAATTAACAAACCATTCATTGTTTAATTAAGTCTTGTCCATCTTCACCTTACTAACTTAGATAAACTTATCCAAATTCCTTCTCAGGATCCTTGCCTCATGCACTTCAGGCACAGGTTGATCACTTTTTCCTTCTCGATTCCTTTCTAAGGTTTCTCTTCTGTGTGCTTCTTATTGGAGAAGATTTAACTCTAGAAATTCTTGGCCCACAAGAGCTCAGGTAAAACATGAATCTATATGTAACTTTATCCCTCGGAATGTACTTACTAATGCATGAAGTAGTCTAAACTAATGGTCCACAATCTTGGCTTAAACATCTATGGAATACTATACAGATGTGAAAAAGATGAAATAGTGGCTTTGGGAACAAAATGGATAGTCCTCAAGGTAATTATGTTATGTGAAACAAATCAGAAAGTGAAAGATATATATTGGATGGTTTCACTCATCTGAGAAGCATGAATAACCAAAAAACACACAGACAAAATACAGCAGGAATAGATCTTAAACTCAGTGAAACAATTTAATGGTTACAGAGGAAATGAGGTGGGGGGTGTGAGAAGGCGGCCAGTATAGAGAAGCCAAGGGGGTATTGACATGAGTGATTTGGTGGAGGGTAAGTGGAACATGTATACATATGGAGAAATAAAATTAAAATAGAAATAGAAAAATCCATTGATTTTTTTTTTTGTAACCACTGACTAGCTCTTCTATGCTTCAAGAGAACTCCAACTATTCATTTACCTTCTGCACTTGGTTCCCCTTTGGGAGCATTACTACTATTTTCTCTGATATTTTTTTTCAGATTATAGTCACTCTCTGACCTAGTTAAATATTAAATTATTTCCCCCTTTTAAAGTCCTATCTCATCAATATTTCAGATCTCATTTGCTTGTTTTACTTTTTGTGTGCTGAGTACAACCTTCAATGTCTCCTTACTCCTTTTCTAATACTTCCATTAATGAAATCTCTATTTTTCTTTCCCTTAAGCAATCTCTAGTTGTTTTCTGCTATTGCTTTCTGGGTATCACTCTATTACAGAAAATGGGAAATTCACTTTGTTATATAAAAAAGGAATTTAAGGTCAAGGTTAAAGCAACTACTTTAAAAATTTTACTATGAGTGCTATGAAACTGATCCCAATTCAGCAGGACCCTGTTTTCTCTTGTTTCAGAGCCAACAAGTTCCAAATGCACAAAAACTTGTCAATCCTCTGATGTGTCAATCTTACTAATGTCTCATTTGACCAAGTTAGCCAAACCCAGAGTCATTAAGGAAAGGGACCATGGAATGTCACAAATACTGACAGTCAAGATTCAATGGAGGCCATTGATGTTAAGAGTTGACCACAGTACCAAGACATTGATACGCAACTTTCCCCCACATATTATATTCATGATCAGTTCTTGCTGTTGGCGCTATTAATCCTTACTTCACTTTCTTTCTGAATTATTCGTGTTTCAGCTTTAGAGCCCCTTCTCAACGTCTGGTGCAACTCTTACGATTTTAACCCAGAAAAAGAAAACTATGAGGATCTCATAATGCCTAGGGGCAGCTTATTACACAAATTGGAACAACTCTACTGCTTTAATTCCTAACAAGGAAGAGAGAAGAAAGGAAAAAGGGATCATACGAAGATACAAAAAGATACCTCCTAGCTCATTTAGCATAAAGGCATCTGAAAAAATCCTAGAGTATCTACTTAGTACAGAATCCATTTCAGTTAGTGTGTCTACCACATCTTAATTAAATAAAACTGCAGTACAGAAAGTCCAGGAGGGCCATCTGAGTAGTGAGAATAAGCAGCTACATATTAGTCAGTGGGAAGGTCCTTTCTTTGCTGCCACTGCTGTATTCTCACCCACTTTTGAATAACATTGAGTCTCCAATGGGTAACAAATGCAGGAATGAATAAGCCACAGTTCTTGTCTCTGAAGAGCTTATGGTCAAATGCAGGAAACAAATAATCACATTACTTACTAGCACACAAATTTAAAAAGACATGTTATAAATAGCAGTGGGCAATATCCCTTTTTTCCCCCCACCAAACTAGCTCTAGCTAACCTGAGAGAGTGGGACTAAAAAGAAGGAGATGGGGACAGAGAATATGCAGTGCACATGTACAGTGTCCCCAGTTGAGGACAACTGGGGAACAGAAGGAGAATGAAACTACCTACTGGTAAAGATAAGGATAGCAGGTGACTGAGCACTCGGTTATGCTTTGTCTGCTTGACTTGATCTAGACTGCTTATGCCTAAGAAGCAGACTAGATAAAATGTTAAGTTCTAAACTATGTTCTTTAATATCCCAATTCCTTTCCTGTTATCACACAGATGGTATTTTCTAAAGTATGGAGGATCCTTCCCTGGAAAAGTGTATTCCATACTCAGATGAAAGTTCAGGGCGATGTCTCAGTCGAAAGGAAGAAATCTAAGAAACAAACCGACTCTGATGCCATATCATTTGCATGCCATCATGTCTCAGCTAATACTTGGTGTGATCTCCAGCTCTGCTGCCAATACGAAAGAGTTTCACAAATCAAACATTAGCAGGTAAACTCATAGAACAACCAGCCTGATCTTATTTCTTAGGCATTGTAAGAAAGCCAAATTCCTCTGCAGGTAAATGTTTTTTCAGGCTTTTCTGCCCTCCCACTATTGGCACAGCCCTGCCTGATGGGTCCCTGCAGTTGTTACATTGCTGCAAGTTGTCTCCTTTGCTTCTGTGGGCCATGGGAGGAGTATTGGGATAGCCACCAAGAGAAGCAGCAGCAGAAGAGGCAGGAGAGAAAGACCCAGAGAAAGAAGCCAGAGAAGCCCAGAGTGAAGACTTGCTGGGGACTTGGAGACTACGGGACTCCTGGTCCCCAGCACGCCGCCTGCTGTGTACCTGTTTGCCATACTACATGTAAAACTCAATAAAAGCCTGAGAAAGCCACGGAGGGCTCCAAGCCTCTCCTTTACCCATCTGCTGGATCATAGACATCCTGCTCAGTGGCCCTACCTGCCACTACAATTCTTATAATATAAAACAAAATTGGCAGGAGAAAAATTAAATAAAGACAGTCTTTTTTGACTGACATTCTAGACTCAAACAAATGTTAGTAATCTAGATGTGTAGATTAATAAAGTAATCTAGAAGGAGAAGACAGGATAATATAGGATCCAGAAGCATATACTTGCTTTTCTATAAAAGTTAGTACTTACCAGTGACTGCTTTGTGAACTCTTGTGGACATTCAGTAGTTGTTTTCTGAGGGGAAAAATATGCTGACGTGATGCTAAAGAAGTATTACAGAGATGGGCATTGAGAGGCCCTGTGCCTGGATTTGCTTCATGGTAGAGTACTTGTAAGCACCTTTCGACATTTCCTCTTCAAACTTTAGGACACCAAGCCATTCCCTCCATAATATGTGTGTGGTATAACACATGACATTCCCAAATCAGTAATTCCATCTACAGGCTAAATGTGATACAGATGCCAGTAGGTTGAAAGATGTGAATGATACATTCAAGAGGTGGCTGTAATTAGAACTTGAAACAGGGAATAAAAAGAAAAGGAGCCCTCCTGCTAGTTTACTGTAACTTTATTTTTTTTGACTGTAATCAACATTTTCTTTTCTTTTTTTTCTTTTTTTTAAATAATAAATTTTATTTTTATATTCCCCATACATTTGCAACCCCCCCATTCTGACCCCAGTCCCTCCCCTCCCGCCCCCCACTCCCAAAAACTGTCTCTGGTTCAGTTTTTTTGTTGATTTTGATTTTCACTTTCTTATAGTTATTCATTTTCCCGAGTGCCCTCTTGTGGTCTCCTTTCAACCATGACTTTATGGATAACCAACATTCAAAATCTATTTCTCCTTTAAGAGATTGTAAAAGATATTCCCATAAACTCTTAGAGTAGTCTTACAATCTGAAGACTGTATGAAAAATGCTTTTTCTACTTACATTAAAGACATAATTGCTATTAATGCCAAGTGATTGCAACCATGGGAAAATGCCAGGTAATTTTCCTTATAATAGGAACTGTACATCACCCGCCTTTCCGAAGCCCAGTTAAAAGCATGCTCTAAGAGGCTTTTCTTTGACTGAGTCATTCCTTTCTAGAGAGAGGTCTGTCCATTCGGCCTTGATACCGTTTCTATTCCAAGGATTTTGTCTGTATCATCTAATGTGCACAATTTGTTGGCATGTCATTTCTCAGAGTAATTTCTTAAAATTGTTTTAAATTTCAGAATGATCCATGGTAATCTTTCATTTCTGACTTTAGTCTTTTGGATTGCACTGATTTCTATATTTAGCAAGTCTCTAATTTATGCACGCCATTGTAATTTTCATAATTTTCTTCTGCTCTGGAATTTTAAAAACATATTTTGAGACTACAATCACCACACATTTGAGGATTGCCCCATAAATCAAACTCTTTGTCACTATGTGGTCACCTGTTTATCTGCAATTTTTTTTATTCTTCTGAATATCCACTTTTCTTGATTGTAATCTAACTACTTCAACTTTCATAACTAGCATTTCATTAGTATTTCGATTTCCCTTCACTTTTAAAATGAAAAGTGGGGTCTCCCCAGTGGCGCAGTGGGTTGAGCCCCGCACTGTGGAGCTGTCCGCGGCCCCGGCTACCGGCGAGGGTCCCACATGGCGTGGCAGACGTCTCCTGTCTCGCCCGCTGCTCCCCTCAGCAGTGTATTTCAGCCAGTCTGCCTGTTCGGCTCCCTGCTCTGTCTCTGGTGAATCCTCTCACCCTCCCGCGCATCTGGCCTGTACCCCAGTTCTTGAATAACAATAAACAAATCTAAAAAAATAAATAAATGAAATGAAAAGCCCCTGCAGGTCTTCACTCTGGGCTTCTCTAGCCTCCTTCTCCGACACCCCCGCAGGGCACAGGAGGGAACCCCACGACTGATAACAGTGTAGCAAATGCAGGCCCCTCAGGTGGGGGATCCTAAGGGCAGGAGCGCAGACCCGCCTGGAAACCACTTTCCCCAACTAGGCCAGTTGGAAAGACCCGGCTCTCCAGCAAAGTACCCCCCTGGCAGCCCCCCGCCGCATCCCAGCATGCACAGCGGAGGTCAAAGGTGGCAAGAGCAGTGACCGTTGGCACAGCCTCCCTGTGGATTCCTCCCAGAAGCTGTGGGGGGAGGGGACTGGGCGAAACATCCAGTCACTGCTTTCTCTTCTCCTGTTGAACAACTGGTCGGTCCTTCCCGAAATGGGTGTCCATTCCTCCAAAGTTGCACCCCAAGGGGGGTTCGAGCAAGGGGAGGCTTCAGGGGTCAGAGGCCAGAGCAGGAGGACTGGCCCGAGCCATGGTCTGAGAGCAGAGCAGATCCTGAGGCGGCAACTGGGCCCCAGCAGCTCCCCGCCTCCGCGGGCACCCAGAGCAGGTCCTGGATTCCAGTGAGGGGCAGGAGCCCGACCAGAGCCAGGCTTTGGGGCCTTCCTCAGACCCACCCCGACAGCCGTCTGAGAGAGGGGATTCACCGGTCCCGGAAGCCCAGGGGCAGCAGCCACCCCCTGGGAGGCCCCGCTGCCACACCAACCGCCTGGAGCAGCCCCTGGCCCGGGGCTTCCAGAGGATGGGGCTGGCAGTGGGCTCGCACCCCTGGCTCTTCCTGCTGGCGCCCCTGGTGCTGACGGCTGTCCTGGGTACCGGTTGACGTACCTGCACAGGGAGACTGAAGAGAACCTGGAGGAGCAGTACACCTCTTTGGGAAGCCCCGGCAAAGCCGAGCTGCACTTCGTGCAGGCACATTTCTCCAATAACGAGTTCCACCTCTTCTCCCCGTTGTGGTCCAGTGCGGAGGTCAACTTTGCCTCCATCCTGGTGATGTCCAACACTACCAATCTGCTGGATCAAGTCATCTTCTCAGAAATGAGTCAACTGGACGAGGCAGTGCAGACGCTGACTGCGCCTTGGGAAGATGGAACCCAGGTCCTCTACCCTCAGGTGTGTGCCAGGTACCAGAGCACCTGCATGCCCTCCAACCCACTCCTGTTCATCTGGCAGAAGAATAACATCATGGACCTGAAAAGCATCACTTTCCCTATTTACAACACCTCCGCTGCTCCCCTCTACTTGGCCAACCTCTTGGGAGGAACAGTCCTAGGTCCCAGCGCAGGGACAAGCCGCTTACTCCTGTAAGCCAAGACCATGCGGCTGCAGTACTACCTGAAGACCGCAGACCCCGAGGAAAGCCCGTGCAGCCAGAAGTGGCTGCTCGAGTTCCTGGACCAAATTCACGCCATTGAAAATGCTTGGCCTTGAAGAACATCCAGGTGCCTGGGGCTGGGTTTAGAGGGAGGAGAAGGTGGGAGGGATATGACCTGTCCAGTGATGTGTCCACGCCTGGCTACTTGGTGGAGGCCTTGACTTGGAACCGGCTCTGCTCCACTCTCTTTGAAGTTTAAGCCAACTTTCTTCAAGGGACCCCAAGGGAAGCAGCCAGCTTAGATACTGGGTTGCATTCTAGTGGGAAACACTCATTCTACACCCCAGGGCTGGGAGTGTTCAGGGCAGACATTGATCTTCAGGGTTCCTTCGGTTTTCTAGCCAGAATGCTCTCACTTCACGTCTGTGCTGTTTCTGGAGCCCCAAAAATTGCTTGGTGGCACTGGAAGAAAAAACCAACCTTTAAGCTGATGTTCCCTAGTGTTTTAGAAAAACAAACTAGCTCAGATTTCTCAAGTATTTTCTAGCATCCTGCCAGGCACCTCAGATGATGAGCAAACCTGCTAAAACTTTTGGCCAGGCCTGGTGAGAGAAACCTGGTGGGAAAAGGCTTTGAATACCAGGCCTTGCTGAAATTATACTTTGTACTTAAATAGCAAAAGATAGAAACCTACTCGTCATTTAGAAAAAGTCAAAATTTTGACAGTTATTAATGATTACACAGTATTATGAGAATTTGTATACTCAGGTATGTTAAACATTGGCTTATTTTTTTTAAAGATATATTCATTTTTTATACAAGCACCAGGTATAGTCAGATGCCGGGAGGGTCAGGGAATTCACCAGAGCCAAGAGCAGGGAACAGAAGAGGCAGAATGACAAAATACACTGCTGAGGGGAGCAGCGGGTGTGGCAGGAGAGGTCTGTTGCGTCAGGTGGGACCCTCACTGGTGGCCTGGGATCTAACCAGCATGGCAGAGGCTGCCGACAGCTTCACAGCCCACCATGCAACCACTGTGCCACCAAGGGAGGCCCAAACATTGGATTTTTGAAAGAAATCTTAGAAAGCATGGCATGGATTGGTGGGGAAAATTTTTTATTACCTTTATTCTAAAATCATAATTCACATATTTTAATCTTTTACCAAACTATAACATGTTTCAATCAATCTATAATATTTTGATACATCTTGTCACTCATACACAAATATTGATGTTAAAAGTATTTAACTGCGTGTATTTTTACGACAGGTGGTCTACTTACATCACTTTCTAGGAAACTTGAATTTGAGGCAAGTGCTAGGACAGTGGTCCCTTTCTTTTACACGGCATACCTTCTGATCATATTATCTGCAATCATATCATGCTACAGGTAAAAATCTCTTATTAGTTTTTAAACTTAAAAATATTTTGTTGTAAGATATTTAACGTAACACATGCCATCCCCACGGCTGCGTACTGTCGTGACTGTTTCCAATATCTTTTGTAAACCAAAGGAGGAACTCTGTGAGCAGTGAGCAGTGTCTCCTGCTGCCCTTCTCTCCTCCAGTCCTGATTAACCTTGACTCTATTCTTTCTACGAATTTGTCTTTCCTAGGTTTTCATGTCAACAAAATCATACATTTTTTTGTACTGACTTATTTCACTTATCATAATGCTTCCAGGGTTTGTCCTTGTGCACGTGTGACAACTTCATTCCACTCTAATGGCTCTGTGCTCCATTGTATGTGTGCTCCACAATTTGGTTGCCCGCAGTCTTTTGTAGGCATGGAGTATTTACTTCTCTTGACAATCCTAACACTGCAAGGAACATGGTG